GGGGGGGGGGTGGGGGGTCGTTGGGTGGTGGGGGGTCCTGAGGGGATCTCTGGGGTCTTGGGGTGGGATGTGTGGGTCCAGGGGAGGATCTATGGGTCCTGAGGGGCACCCATGGGTGCTGGGGCACCTCGCTGTGGGGCACCTCGCTGTGGGTCACCTCGCTATGGGTCACCTCGCTGTGGGGCACCTCGCTGTGGGTCACCTCGCTATGGGTCACCTCGCTGTGGGGCAGAGCAAGCTGATCGCGGGGAAGATCATCCCGGCCATCGCCACCACCACGGGGGCGGTTGTGGGGCTGGCCTGCCTGGAGCTCTACAAGCTGGTCCAGGGCCACCGGCGCCTGGGCTCCTACAAGAACGCCTTCCTCAACCTGGCCCTGCCCTTCGTCGGCTTCTCCGAACCCCTCGCCTGCCCCCGCAACAAGGTGTGGGGCTGCCCCATAGCGCCAACGGGGACCCTATAGACACCCCATAGCATCCCTGGGGGCATGGTGGCAACTGGGTGCTGCCCTAGAGGGGGTGGGGTTGGGTTGGGGTTGGGTTCTGGAGGTGGTTTGGAGTCTGGGTGGGGTTGGGGGTCTGCCCCACGGCTCCCTGCCCCATAGATCCCAGCCCCATAGCGCAGTGGGGGACCCTATAGGCGCCCCGTAGCATCCCCGGGGACGTGGTGGCAACTTGGGGGCTGCCCTAGAGGGAGTGGGGTTGGGTTGGGGTTGGGGTCCGGAGGTGGTTTGGGGTCTCAAACCTCTCACCTGCCCCACACCTTGTTGTGGGGCAGCCCCATAGCGCTGCCGGGCACCCTATAGGCGCCCCATAGCATCCCCGGGGACGTGGTGGCAACTTGGGGGCTGCCCTAGAGGGGGTGGGGTTGGGTTGGGGTTGGGGTCTGGAGGTGGTTTGGAGTCTGGGTGGGGTTGGGGGTCTGCCCCACAGCTCCCTGCCCCATAGATCCCAGCCCCATAGCACAGTGGGGAACCCCAGAGATGCCCCACATCACCCCGTAGTCCTTGTGACCACCCCCAGTTAGTGCCTGGCCACAGCTTTGTCCTTATGGGTCCTGCCCCCCTGCCGTGGGTCTGACCCCTTTGCCGTGGGTCTGCCCCCCAAGTACTATGAGGTGGAGTGGACGCTGTGGGACCGGTTCGAGGTCCAGGGGCTGCAGCCCGACGGGAAGGAGATGACCCTGCGCCAGTTCCTCGCCTACTTCAAGGTACTGGGAGGGACTGGTTGGGGGGCGGGGGACACTTGGGGGGCAGTTGGGCCCCACCCAGTGGCCTCTTGTCCCCTAAAAGGACCCCAACCCAACAGGGGGGCACCCCAGGGGAAGGGGGGGGAGATGTGGCCACCACGATGGCTGGTGCCCCTGAGGGCGTGGGGCGCTGTGGGTCGCCGTGGGGCACCCTGGGGAGCCCTGGGCCCCACATGACGTCCCCGTGTCCCCCCCCCGTTGTCCCCCCCAGAAGGAGCACCGGCTGGAGATCACGATGCTGTCCCAGGGCGTCTCCATGCTCTACTCCTTCTTCATGCCGGCCGCCAAGCTCCGCGAGCGCCACGACCAACCGTAGGGCCCGG